GGGTGGGTGTGTGCATGTGTTACTAAAATATCTCCTGACAGAGAAATCCCAGAATTAAAAGCTAAAATAAATAACTTGGACATTTTGAAGATGGTTTGCTTCTCATAACAAACCTGAAAATTTAAACTAATTTGGATCCAGCTGATATTAAACAAACAAAAAAGTCTGTAACTCGGTTTATTTTATAAATACAAAGCTAAAATCTTGTGTGGTAGTATCCGAGAGTCATACTTAAGGCCACTCTCACCATAATCCTAATTTCAACTAAAACATCTTTAATTAATAAATAGTAACTTCTGTAAGCTCAGAGCAGGGATGATGTTTCCATGAAGACAGAGAAACATTCCTCAGTCAGAGTTATTTTAGGCCTGAACTTAATTTAGATCATAAAAGTCTTTTCCCAGAGGCTGGAGCCCCATGGCATGCTGCTTGTTCACACTTTCATCATCTTGAGCATGTAGGTAAATAATTTGAGGCAGGTGGGGTCACCTGAATCACCTGAGATTTGTTACCTTCACTCAGAAAACAACAGAAACCGCTCCAGGCTGACAGAACTTCAAARGCGGTTCTGTTCAGCTGAGTTCTGCTACTTCCAGCAGCTGCCTCTTCATCATCGTCAGCAGAACTCCAGAACAGGGAAGAAAGCGCAGGACCGGATCAGACGGACCATGAGTTTGAGGCGAGGGGAGCTGAGGAGAACTCAGAGGTTCTGGGTTCATGACCCATCAGTGACCCACGGGAAAGTTTTCCCACAGAGGTTTCAGGCTGAGCTGCGTTCCTCTGCAGGAGTGAAAACGTCCTCCCAGATTATAAATCTTACCTTCTATAGAGTGACCCCTCTGCCCCATCCCACGCCACACCTGCAGAGGTGTGGGACAGGTGTCATGACCTCAGGCTCTGCAGGTCTGCTCACAGGGTATAAGACAGGACACCAAAGGGGTCAGTCAGAGAGAGGGGGGTCATCCTGCTGTAGAACCATCAGAACCTCAGCCTTCATCCTCCTCCTCCTCCTCCTTGCCCAGTGTTTCTCAGTTTTCTCCCCCAGTTTTGTAAAACCCAAGAAAAAAATACCCTACTCTATATGAGGCCCAACTAGGTGTGCTACTTCCACAACAAATTAGCTCAACTTGAACAAGTAGAAGCCATATTGGCAAAAACAACTTAAGAAAACAATTGCAGTCTCTCCTTCACTTTTGACATCCATCATGGTGTAGTTGCAAAGGGTCAACAGATCCTTCATGTTGTCTCTAATCTTTGATATTTAGGGTGATTCAGTCAGAAAAACAACATTCGTTATATTAAAAGGTTCCAATTAGTTAAGAAATATGGAAAAGRTTATATCAATGCATTGAACTTTCAAACCTTCTAGGATTAAATGTCTAAATACTTTTATCCTACAACAAAATTTGCTGTAATTTCACATCCCTGGTTTCATTTTTAACCAACAAAGAAGAAGTGAATTCTTTGTGAAGTGTGACTTTAAAGTGGGTAAGATTCCAGTTAAACTATCAAACTTTCACAAACAATGTCTTCCATTCTGCAAAATGATGTAACACTTACTTAACTTCTTCATCATCAGTGACATTTTTTTAAATTAAAGTCATTATGTAAATAAACCAAGTATTACAAAGATCTGTTACCTTTGATTTAGTTTATTTTGCTGCATTTAATCATAAATACAACATACAGAACCCTACAAAAGTAGTGCTAATTAAACAATACCAAAAACAAAAAGAACACACTATGCCTCATATTTAACACAAATATTATTTTAATATTGCTGACTTGCCAAATTTTTAAAACAAATTTTATTTTCACTTTCATAGTTTTATCTTTAGCTGTTTATAGTTTTAACTGTCTTGAGTGTTTATAGAAATGGTTTATACCAACTTCTAGCCAAGTTTCTGACGTTTCCGTAGATACTGTACCAAACATGTCTATGTTTAACTAAAAGAACTTAGAGTAATTAAAGTAGAAAACTGGGTGTTTGGGCTTAAGGCCACCAGTTGAATAGCCCTGCAATAGAACATTTATTTTTTTCCATTCACAAAACTTTTGGACGGACATTAGAAACTAGGTTAATCTAGGTGACTTTAGTTCTGTTACAAATTATTATAAAACAAAGTCCCAATTTCCTCCTAGGATTTACAGAATAAATATAATAGCTGCTGGAGTTTAGTTTAGTAGCATGTTTTCATGTCTGTTTCCTCCTGTGGAGCAGCTGTCACCTCCTGGAGGAGGATCCCTTCTCCTTTTGCAACTGTGACCCAGAGCCCTACATAACCGCCTGCATAGACACTTTGTCCAGATGTCCTGCAGTTGACTGCCTCAAGTGTCAGTTCCTGGGGGCCTACGTCAGAGCCTGCAGCCTGAAGCTCAACACCACACTGGAGGGCTGGAGGTCCAAGGCTAAGTGCCGTAAGACCTGTTGTGATCCAACATCTGATCTAAAGAAACCACTTGTTGGTTTCTAATATATCAGTGTGTCCCTCTGCAGCCACTGCTGAGGCCTTCTGTCACAACAGGACCTGCAGCGATCATGAGTTCTGTGGAGAGAAGTCTGATGGTGGAGGAACTCGCTGCTTCTGTAGGCCCATTTTTGCTTCCAGCTACAGAGACCAAGATGCTTTGGGTACGACTGACAGCATGACATCAGGTCAGTTGGTTGGAGGAAAACCTTTAACTGTGATTTTTCTCTCCAACATTGCAACCTTCAGGTAATCTAACAGTCTGCAGTCAGAAATCTGCTTCTATTACTTTGGTCAACTGTCTCCTGGAAGACAAAGGCATCAACTACTCTGCCTTACACCTCAAAGACCCGACCTGCAAAGGACAGATGGATGAGGAGACCCACATGGTGACATTCAGCTTTAACAGCAGCGCCACATGTGGGACGACGATCACTGTGAGTTTCCTGAACATATTATTCTCCACAGTCAGTCAAATAGCCCTCCTGTCTCCACTGGGTTTGGGATTTTCCTCWGCGTTTGTTTTTACTTCTGATCTCTGTGGGACCCCTTGGTTTTCAACACTCGGATGTTTCTTCCTGCAGAGCAACAGCACCAACGTGATCTACAAGAACATCGTCACAAACCAGAGCAGTTCCTCTGACATCATCACTTACAAAGACCAGGTCTACTTGGGCTTCTCCTGTGCCTACAGTCTCTACCAAGAGACCAACATCAAGTCCTTCAGGATCAAGAGCAGGTCTGGTTTTGGCTCATTCTGCTGTCAGCTTTATGAGTCAAAGACTCTAGACGTTTTTGGTCATGTTTGAAATGAGCAGAGAGCTGCCTTGATGTGGGCGGGCTGTGCAGTGGAAAAACACCTCATCTTATTTATTTATTTATTTATTTATTTTATTTTATTTTATTTTATTTTATTTTATTTTATTTTATTTTATTTTATTTTATTTCAGTTCTGTGATGAAGTTCTTCACATCTGGACTCTGGAACTACAGCCTGACCATAATGGCTTACACCAACGCCGAGCGAACCTAAGCTGTGGAGTCAAGCACCGAGGTGCAGCTGAACCAGAAGATCTGGGTGGAGCTTCAGACCAACGGGCTGGATGGGAACCTCATCTCCATAGTGACCGACTCCTGCTGGGCCACCAGTCAGGAATCGGAGAATGGAAGCTTGAGATATGACCTGATCATGAACTGGTGGGACTCACTCAGAGATGGTTGTCCGGGTCCAATCAGACACTTATGGACTCTTGAAAAAACTGTTTCTTGTTTGGGAACAGGTGTGCGAACCCCACTGACCAGACAGTGAACGTGGAGAAAAACGGAGATGGAACCTCCAGCTTCTTCTCCTTCAACATGTTCCAGTTCTCTGGGACCAATGGAGACGTCTACCTGCACTGCAAACTGCAGCTGTGTGCCAAACAGGAGAACAGCTGCATCCCGGTAAAATGCATCACTTGATCAGGTGTCCATTAATGTATGACTGTGTTGTTAAAATACTGCTAACACTAAACCCTCACACCTGATCCACATACTTTGACACAAAGATTAGACTGTCGTGAAAAAATCTGATATAGCTTGCATCATAGGAAAAAATCAGATTTGGGTTGTATTTGCCAGCACTGTGAACAAGTTTAGTCCTCCAAGGGAAATTGAGGATTGTTTGCTGATTTGGGGTTTTCTGCACCTGATCTGCGCTTCCCCCCTAGACTCACCTTCCAACCTTCCATGACTTGACCGTCATGAGGTACTTTGACATGAGTACCAGGACCAAGTCAATGAAGCTTTTTAGTAAGTAAAGTTTTATTTATATAGCGCCTTTCACAGAAATAAATTCACAAGGTGCTGTACATTCAGGGAAGGGGGGAGGGGGCAGTTAAGACAGGTCATGCAGCAAACACAGTTGCACTACCTTTAGACAAACAAAACAACTTAAAAAAACAGAAGGGAAAATGAGGAATAAAAAGCAGAAA